GTACTTGCTGGAACAATCTTAAATACAGTTTGTTTAAATAGTTGGATTATAAGTTTGGATGACGAATCCAATCATAAAAGTCGTTGGCTTGTACGTAGACAAAATTCTTAAAAAACGAGTTGTTATCAATAGCTAGCTCAGCGAAACCATACTCTATAAATAGCGTGCTATGTGCGCTGGACAGAAGCTAGCATACATATAGTGGACAGGACAGTAGCATGGACAATACGAAGCAGCATGAAGTCTCAGACAAATTTATTCCACGTATCCAACAACACATCCTGTCCATTGAGACTAAAGTCTCAGATAAATTTATCTGACGTATCCAACAATCCAACCTGTCCATTGAGACTAAAGTCTCAGATAAATTTATCTGACGTATCCAACAACCCAACCTGTCCATTGAGACTAAAGTCTCAGATAAATTTATCTGACGTATCCAACAACCCAACCTGTCCATTGAGACAAATTTATCTGACGTATCCAACAACCCAACCTGTCCATTGAGACTAAAGTCTCAGATAAATTTATCTGACGTATCCAACAACCCAACCTGTCCATTGAGACTAAAGTCTCAGATAAATTTATCTGACGTATCCAACAATCCAACCTGTCCATTGAGACTAAAGTCTCAGATAAATTTATCTGACGTATCCAACAAACCAACCTGTCCATTGAGACTAAAGTCTCAGATAAATTTATCTGACGTATCCAACAACCCAACCTGTCCATTGAGACTAAAGTCTCAGACAAATTTATCTGACGTATCCAACAAACCAACCTGTCCATTGACACTAAAGTCTCAGATAAATTTATCTGACGTATCCAACAAACCAACCTGTCCATTGAGACTAAAGTCTCAGATAAATTTATCTGACGTATCCAACAACCCAACCTGTCCATTGAGACTAAAGTCTCAGACAAATTTATCTGACGTATCCAACAACCCAACCTATCCATTGAGACAAATTTATCCCACGTATCCAACAAACCAACCTGTCCATTGACACTAAAGTCTCAGATAAATTTATCTGACGTATCCAACAATCCAACCTGTCCATTGAGACTAAAGTCTCAGATAAATTTATCTGACGTATCCAACAACCCAACCTGTCCATTGAGACTAAAGTCTCAGATAAATTTATCTGACGTATCCAACAACCCAACCTGTTCATTGAGACAAATTTATCTGACGTATCCAACAACCCAACCTGTCCATTGAGACTAAAGTCTCAGATAAATTTATCTGACGTATCCAACAACCCAACCTGTCCATTGAGACTAAAGTCTCAGATAAATTTATCTGACGTATCCAACAATCCAACCTGTCCATTGAGACTAAAGTCTCAGATAAATTTATCTGACGTATCCAACAAACCAACCTGTCCATTGAGACTAAAGTCTCAGATAAATTTATCTGACGTATCCAACAACCCAACCTGTCCATTGAGACTAAAGTCTCAGACAAATTTATCTGACGTATCCAACAAACCAACCTGTCCATTGACACTAAAGTCTCAGATAAATTTATCTGACGTATCCAACAAACCAACCTGTCCATTGAGACTAAAGTCTCAGATAAATTTATCTGACGTATCCAACAACCCAACCTGTCCATTGAGACTAAAGTCTCAGACAAATTTATCTGACGTATCCAACAACCCAACCTATCCATTGAGACAAATTTATCCCACGTATCCAACAATCCAACCTGTCCATTGAGACTAAAGTCTCAGATAATTTTATCTCACGTATCCAACAACCCAACCTGTCCATTGAGACTAAAGTCTCAGATAATTTTATCTCACGTATCCAACAATCCAACCTGTCCATTGAGACTAAAGTCTCAGATAAATTTATCTGACGTATCCAACAACCCAACCTGTCCATTGAGACTAAAGTCTCAGATAAATTTATCTGACGTATCCAACAATCCAACCTGTCCATTGAGACTAAAGTCTCAGATAAATTTATCCGACGTATCCAACAACCCAACCTGTCCATTGAGACTAAAGTCTCAGATAATTTTATCTCACGTATCCAACAACCCAACCTGTCCATTGAGACACATTTATCCCACGTATCCAACAACCCAACCTGTCCATTGAGACAAATTTATCCCACGTATCCAACAACCCAACCTGTCCATTGAGACATATTTATCCCACGTATCCAACAACCCAACCTGTCCATTGAGACACATTTATCCCACGTATCCAACAACCCAACCTGTCCATTGAGACTAAAGTCTCAGATAAATTTATCTGACGTATCCAACAATCCAACCTGTCCATTGAGACTAAAGTCTCAGATAAATTTATCCGACGTATCCAACAACCCAACCTGTCCATTGAGACTAAAGTCTCAGATAATTTTATCTCACGTATCCAACAACCCAACCTGTCCATTGAGACACATTTATCCCACGTATCCAACAACCCAACCTGTCCATTGAGACAAATTTATCCCACGTATCCAACAACCCAACCTGTCCATTGAGACATATTTATCCCACGTATCCAACAACCCAACCTGTCCATTGAGACACATTTATCCCACGTATCCAACAACCCAACCTGTCCATTGAGACACATTTATCCCACGTATCCAACAACCGGTTCCCAGAAAGAACCGCAACGGAAAAAAGCGCAACGGAAAAAAGCGCAAATCAAAAAGCGCAACGGAAAAAAGCGCACACGGAAAAAAGCGCAAAGAAATAAAAGCGCACACAGAAAAAAGCGCAAAGAGAAAAAAGCGCAAACGGAAAAAAGCGCAAAGAGAAAAAAGCGCACACAGAAAAAAGCGCAAACAAAAAAAAGCGCAAACGGAAAAAAGCGCAAAAAGAAAAAAGCGCACACGGAAAAAAGCGCAAAGAGATAAAAGCGCAAAGAGAAAAAAGCGCAAAGAGAAAAAAGCGCAAAGAGAAAAAAGCGCACACAGAAAAAAGCGCAAACAGAAAAAAGCGCAAAGGGAAAAAAGCGCAAAGAGAAAAAAGCGCAAACGGAAAAAAGCGCAAACAGAAAAAAGCGCACACAGAAAAAAGCGCAAACGGAAAAAAGCGCAAACAGAAACAGAAAAATGCGCAACCAGAAAAAACACAACGAAAAATGTGCAAAAGAGAAATTTAGCACAAAGACCATATGGACTAGATGACACATTTATACATGACTGTTAGGGCTTCTGTGAGAGTGTCGTGTTTGATCACGTGATCTACTACCATTTAAAGCGTACCACTACCATCTGCATTCCCATCACCACGATACAGGCGATAATCACTTCACACCGCCATAAAGTAAGCAAAGGACCGCTTTAAAGTTAGGGTAGGACCGCCTTAAATTAGCAAAGGACCGCTTTAAAGTTATGTTCTACCCTGATCAAGTCACTGAAACGAAGATGGGACTGTAGCGGCGGACTGGGGTCATGGAGTTGTACCCAGAAAACTAACATTGGGACTGTAGTGTGGCCTGTCGCCCCTCAAGGCATATCTGTCACCCCCATCCCCTCTTCAAGACATGTGTCTACCCCCCCCCCCCTTCCCCTTCTCAAGGAAAAGTTTGTGGCCCCTCAATACATATGTCCCCCCCCCCCCCATCCTCTCCTCAAGACATAGCTATCACCCCCCCCCCCCCCAAAGACATATCTATCGCTCCTCCAGTTCTAGCTATTATTTCTAAAGAGCTAGTTATCACCCATAAAAGCCAAACATACCACCACTAAAATAACAACAGATCAAATCAAAAGTCAAATAGAGGCAACAGATTAAGGAAGTTCTGTAAGATACGATCACGTAACTAAACAAAATGGCCGCCTTCTATGCATGTGGCAGTCACTACACAACGTACCAGTTCGCCTGGTATGTGTCAGTAATTAAAATATCTGCTGTCAATCTTTTCAAGCAATTAAGGAAGTTTAGTCTCTGATATTTATTTTATCTTGTTTACACCTGGTTTTAGAAATACAATCTGACAGTTTATTTGTCTAAATATAGACCTAGTTTCTGTGAGCTGAACTTGATTCTGTAATTCCTTTTTTTGCCGCAATCATGTCTTGTCACAATATCTGGTTGTCCTGTGGTTTGATTGTCTTGTTACATCTGGTAATCCAGGACTTTGGTTGTGATCAACAAAGATATTTTCTAATGGAGCCATTTTTTTCCAAAATTGCGTAGATTTATAAACGACACTCATGACATGAACTCAAGCACATCCACTGATCGAGCTACGTTATTTTCTCGTTTTTTTGTGTTCAATACAATATTTTAAAATTAATTTTCAATTACTAATATATAATTAGCTTGAAATTTATTAAATTTATTAGATATCGTTGCATTGTCACCAGAAATGGATTTACATGGTAAGTTGAAAACAAATCACTGTATAAAAATGGGTGAAAACAGTTTTAAAATATCAAACTCACAAACAAACGGACATTGTAACCAAAGTATAAGCTTATAGCTTATAAAAGTAGTTTTCTCCTTATTTTTATTTTAGATAAAAGCGTTTTAATATATTTTTTAATACATGTTATTTAAATGACATATTCTGTAGTTTTTGGAATGGATGTCTAGAATATATTGCATTTCAGATACAGCAGGTTATGCACATTCTGCACATCTTAATCATCAGTTTACATTTGTACATCTAAATCTGCACATTTTATCAGCTGATGATTTGGCCATACATACAAAATGGCTACAACCGTTTCATCTTATTGTTACTAATCTTTTGGTAAACAAGTAAAAAATAACATTGTACACAAAGATATGAAAGCTTTAAAAATTGAATTTCAATATCGAGGTTACTTATAGAAAGCAAATAACTTTATTTATAAGCAATGTATGTAACTATTTATAGACATAAAAACCACTCTGGTGTTGTTACAAAAACTAGAACTTCATGTCAAGCTTGTTAAATTTATTGAAGCGTTGGATGGAATGATTGTGGGATTGTATAGTAAGGTAGGTGTGTGTGGGTGGGGGTGGCCGGGGGGGGGGGGGGGCGGGCGAATTCGGATAAAAAACTATTTGTTATGGCAAATTGATATATGCATGTGCTAAGTAAATATATAGAACTGCGATCCTATGTTGTTTGTGTATATACACATCTGCTAAATGTTTAGTTATATTAATCTGGCGATAACTAGACCGACCAACGTTAGCAGAAGCAGCCAATCAAACACGAGCCTTTGTTTGTTGTTGTTAGGATCCAGCTCAGACCGGATGGTCCGTGTTTTTGTCTTGCGGGCCACGTGACTAAAAACTGGTTCAAGGTCAGGGTCATAGGAAGGTGAGTCCTCGTCCAGGTCCCGGATGTTGAGGGTCTGTGAGATGACCGTGTTGACCTCTGTCAGGTGACCAGCGTCCCTCTTACGTCGGCTCTGGATGCACGTTCTAAATTAGAAACATCAGTCAGTCAGCAACCATCATATTGAAAGCACTGCTCAACGTGATCTCATGTGTACATGGTGCTAGCAGTTTTAAAATACCCTGTCTCAGGTTTAACACCTGTTTTACCTGTACTCACCTACCAGAGGTTTAACACCTGTTTTACCTGTACTCACCTGCCAGAGGTTTACCACATGTTTTACCTGTACTCACCTGTCTCAGGTTAAACACCTGTTGTACCTGTACTCAACTGTCTCATGTTTAACACCTGTTGTACCTGTACTCACCTGCCACAGGTTTAACACCTGTTGTACATGCCACATGTTTAACACCTGTTGTACCTGTACTCACCTGTCGCAGTACGGTTTATCATCAGTAGCCTGACAGACCCTGAGCTGACAGGTGATGTAGACGGTGGAGTAGCCGAAGAACTTGAAGGCCTTGAAGCGGAACCCCTGGGTTGTGTTGCTGATGGGATACACCGTCACGGTACTTAGCGTCGCCGGGCATCTGGGGCAGGGGAAGCAGAGCTGGTCTGATTATAGTGATTACTCTTTGATTTTGGTGTTTACAAAAAGCAATGGCAAGCCTAGGTTATGAAAGGATTCAGTAATCTTTTTAGCGGACCTAAAAGCCCTAATTTGAACCATACAAGTGTTTTAAGGGGTTGCCTTTAAGCTTATTTCTTTTTTAAACACAAGAGTACCTTTCGTAACAGTTTAACACAATGTAACGGAAACATTTCTTCCCCCAATCCAGTGTTTCTTCCAGACTTTTTTCTCTGGGGGGAGGGGGGGGGGGGGACTAAAATTTCCTGGAAGAAACTTTGCCCCGATCTCTATGAGCGTGAAGTCATTAAGTAAAAATGTGAGCCAGTAAAACGTGGTGTAAAGGCATCGGTGACACAGTGAACATCAGAAGTGAATCAGTATAACAGAAATGACCCAGTATAACAGAAATGAGCCAGTATAACAGAAATGACCCAGTATAACAGAAATGATCCAGTATAACAGAAATGAGCCAGTATAACAGAAATGAGCCAGTATAACAGAAATGAGCCAGTATAACAGAAGTGACCCAGTATAACAGAAATGAGCCAGTATAACAGAAATGAGCCAGTATAACAGAAATGAGCCAGTATAACAGAAGTGACCCATTATAACAGAAATGACCCAGTATAACAGAAATGAGCCAGTATAACAGAAATGAGCCAGTATAACAGAAATGACCCAGTATAACAGAAGACCCAGTATAATAGAAATGACCCAGTATAACAAAAATGACCCAGTATAACAGAAATGACCCAGTATAACAGAAGTGACCCATATAACAGAAGTGACCCAGTAAAACACCATGAGTGAGCCAGGGACCCACTTGTTCTCTATGAGCGGGTACTCGGGGTAGCTGAGGCTGGACCGTCCACCAATGGGGTTGACGCTACAGCCCAGCAGAACCAGCTTCAGCTCCTCGTCCTTGAACAGTGACTCGGACTCGGCCTTGACCTTCACGCCCACATACACCCAGTTGCCGACGGTTATAGAATAAGGGTTGTCGTTGATAACGACGTCACACATCTCGTTCTGATAAAAGTGGATCTCTGCCTGTTAGAAGGAAGAAATATGGAGCTAAACATAAACATGTTCTGTGTATCTACTTATCTTTTTACAAACAATTTTAATGACTCAAATATTTTCAAGTTTAAATATGCCTACGACCAGAACCGTTATTTATTAGATTAAAGCTAAGGCTAAATATATGGCGTTATTTATTGTACCAATAGAGTAGTTTAGTCTCTTGTATATTATGAAGGGGGGGGGGGACTGTTTTCAGGAGCACACATGGGCTTTTTTCCTTAGCCCGATTGGAGTCGGTTTATTTCTGGAACCCACTGCCCGTTTTGTGACTAAAATAAATTTTATTCAAATACGAAACTCATTGATCTGGATAAATGTTAAGTTTTCAAATACAACCCAAGTCAAGATAAAAAAAAACCCCAGAAATTTCTTACATCGTAATCGAAGTATCTGAGAAGTGACGAGTATTCTGAGATTGTCTTGGGCACAAACTTGATGGAGACGTTCTTGTCTTCCGGCAAACAACATTTGATGTCAAATCTGCAGACGACATTGTAGGTTTTACCGTAATCAAAACATTGTACCAAAAACACGGTTTAACGATTAGGATGTTGTCCTACTCTGAAAATGTTTAGGGGTCATCCATAAATGACGTCACGCTTTTTTTGACGATTTTTACCTCCCCCCCCTCCCCTCCGTCACACGTCGTCACAAAAAGCCAGACCCCTAAAATGACGTCACACCTCAACCTACAACCCCCCTCAAAATTGCAGTTGAATTTTTTAAAAACATCGATATTTTTCCAAAATCTTGTCTAAACTATTACAATTTATTAAAACAGTTATCTAAAACGCGAAATAACGTCTGAAATTCGTTTTCTAACATTGCTTTTTTATAATGCAAAAAATGTGACGTCGCAACATCTGACCCCCCCCCCCCCCCTCCCCCTCATCACACATCGTCACAAAATTACGGACCCCCCCTCCCCCCTACGAGTGTGACGTCATTTATGGATGACCCCTTATATTGTAAATGCCTTAAAAATGGAACGGCTAACTAAAATAATTCGTTTAGAACAGGCCTTCTTAAAGGTCATGGCCACGACCTACTTACACATGACGGCGGAAGTCAAGCAGAAGGTTGCCCTGGGAGATTTGATAGATGTACTCCACAGCGTTCTCATAGCATCTGTTGGTCCCGTTTTTCTGGGAGATTGTGTTAAAAGTAAGGATAAACCCCAGTTTATTTGGGAGATTGTTTTAAAAGTTAGGATAAATAGTTTCTCTGAGAGATGTGTTAAAAGTTAGGATAAAACACAGTTTGTCTGGGTGATGTGTTAAAAATTAGGATAAAACACAGTTTCTCTGGGAGATTGTGTTAAAAGTTAGGATAGAACACAGTTTCTCTGGGAAATTGTGTTAAAAGTTAGGATAAAACACAGTTTCTCTGGGAGATGTGTTAAAAGTTAGGATAAAACACAGTTTGTCTGGGAGCTGTGTTAAAAGTTAGGATAAAACACAGTTTGTCTGGGAGATTGTGTTGGAAGTTAAAATAAAACGCCGCCTTTCTTTGTACTTATTTAAATAGTGCAAACATTTAGTACATACAAAAAAGATCACTTGTTAAGTACTCACGTAGGCCGTACTCCCACTGTGTGGGATGGTGACGTTATACTCACATAGGCCGTACTCCCACTGTGTGGGATGGTGACGTTATACTCACATAGGCCGTACTCCCACTGAGTGGGATGGTGACGTTATACTCACATAGGCCGTACTCCCACTGTGTGGGATGGTGACGTTATACTCACATAGGCCGTATTCCCACTATGTGGGATGGTGACGTTATACTCACATAGGCCGTACTCCCACTGTGTGGGATGGTGACGTTATACTCACATAGGCCGTACTCCCACTGTGTGGGATGGTGACGTTATACTCACATAGGCCGTACTCCCACTGTGTGGGATGGTGACGTTATACTCACATAGGCCGTACTCCCACTGTGTGGGATGGTGACGTTATACTCACATAGGCCGTACTCCCACAGCTGCTGTGTGGGATGGTGACGTTATACTCACATAGGCCGTACTCCCACAGCTGCTGTGTGGGATGGTGACGTTGAAGCTGGTGCTGGACAGCTGGATGTGACTAGCCGTGCAGCTGGGCTGGTTGACAATGATGACGTTGGAGCTGGTGATGTCTGGGAAATCTTTGAGGGGGAAACTCAGGACCATGTTGCCGGTGTAGGAGGTGCAGTCAAAGATAGGTTGTGCTGTGGGGTAGAGAAGGTAGGTTGTGCTGGGGGTAGAGAAGGTAGGTTGTGTTGGGGGGTAGAGAAGGTAGGTTGTGCTGGGGGGTAGAGAAGGTAGGTTGTGTTGGGGGTGGGGTAGGTAGGTGGTGTTGGGGGTAGGGTAGGTAGGTTGTGTTAGGGGTAGGGAAGGTAGGTTGTGTTAGGGGTAGGGAAGGTAGGTTGTGCTGGGGGTAGAGAAGATAGATTGTGCTGGGGGGATAAAAAAGGTCGATTGGGATGGTGGATAGAGAATGTAGAATGTAGAACAATGAGCAAGTAAACAGTCAACAAATGTTGTGTTCTAAAATAGAGCAGTGTAATTTGAATGTAATCTATCCAGTAGTTTATGTAAGCCACATCCCACCAGCTAGGGCGTCAGCTTACATGTATGTGTAAGTGTTAAGAAACAACTCACGAGGTACGACCACTTCTGGTGTGATGACGCACTGCACGCCCGCCAGATCCTTGCTCGTGCATCCCCTGGTGTTTGGTAGTGAGTGCTTACAGTTAAAGATGCTCGACTCACTCCCTGTGCACTCGACCGTATCCCACGCGATGTCCACAGTGGCGGGCACAGCTGGGCGGTACCTGGTCTCTACAGCTGGTCTAGGGCAGCAGGTGTCGTTACTGGGGACACAAGACAGCAGGTGTCGTTACTGGGGACACAAGACAGCAGGTGTCGTTACTGGGGACACAAGACAGCAGGTGTCGTTACTGGGGACACAGGACAGCAGGTGTCGTTACTGGGGACACAAGACAGCAGGTGTCGTTACTGGGGACACAGGACAGCAGGTGTCGTTACTGGGGACACAGGACAGCAGGTGTCGTTACTGGGGACACAGGACAGCAGGTGTCGTTACTGGGGACACGTTAGTACAGGACAGCAGGTGTCGTTACTGGGGACACAGGACAGCAGGTGTCATTACTGGGGACACAGGACAGCAGGTGTCGTTACTGGGGACACGTTAGTACAGGACAGCAGGTGTCGTTACTGGGGACACAGGACAGCAGGTGTCGTTACTGGGGACACGTTAGTACAGGACAGCAGGTGTCGTTACTGGGGACACAGGACAACAGGTGTCGTTACTGGGGACACAAGACAGCAGGTTTCGTTACTGGGGACACAAGACAACAGGTGTCGTTACTGGGGACACAAGACAGCAGGTGTCGTTACTGGGGACACAGGACAGCAGGTGTCGTTACTGGGGACACAAGACAGCAGGTTTCGTTACTGGGGACACAAGACAGCAGGTGTCGTTACTGGGGACACAGGACAGCAGGTTTCGTTACTGGGGACACAGGACAGCAGGTTTCGTTACTGGGGACACAAGACAGCAGGTGTCGTTACTGGGGACACAGGACAACAGGTGTCGTTACTGGGGACACAGGACAGCAGGTTTCGTTACTGGGGACACGTTAGTACAGGACAGCAGGTGTCGTTACTGGGGACACAGGACAGCAGGTGTCGTTACTGGGGACACAAGACAGCAGGTTTCGTTACTGGGGACACAAGACAGCAGGTGTCGTTACTGGGGACACAGGACAGCAGGTTTCGTTACTGGGGACACAGGACAGCAGGTGTCGTTACTGGGGACACAGGACAGCAGGTGTCGTTACTGGGGACACAGGACAGCAGGTTTCGTTACTGGGGACACGTTAGTACAGGACAGCAGGTGTCGTTACTGGGGACACAGGACAGCAGGTGTCGTTACTGGGGACACAGGACAGCAGGTGTCGTTACTGGGGACACGTTAGTACAGGACAGCAGGTGTCGTTACTGGGGACACAGGACAGCAGGTGTCGTTACTGGGGACACAAGACAGCAGGTGTCGTTACTGGGGACACAGGACAGCAGGTTTCGTTACTGGGGACACAGGACAGCAGGTGTCGTTACTGGGGACACAGGACAGCAGGTTTCGTTACTGGGGACACAAGACAGCAGGTGTCGTTACTGGGGACACAAGACAGCAGGTGTCGTTACTGGGGACACAGGACAGCAGGTTTCGTTACTGGGGACACAGGACAGCAGGTGTCGTTACTGGGGACACAGGACAGCAGGTTTCGTTACTGGGGACACGTTAGTACAGGTCAGGGGCAGCAGGTGATGGGAAATATGATACAGCTGTCAGCCTGCCACACAACTTACTTGTTGTAACAAAGTTCCCTGCATACAACTTACTTGTTGTAACAAAGTTCCCTGCGCACAACTTACTTGTTGTAACAAAGTTCCCTGCACACAACTTACTTGTTGTAACAAAGTTCCCTGCACACAACTTACTTGTTGTAACAAAGTTCCCTGCACACAACTTACTTATTGTAACAAAGTTCCCTGCACACAACTTACTTATTATAACAAAGTTCCCTGCACACAACTTACTTATTGTAACAAAGTTCCCTGCACACAACCTACTTGTTGTAACAAAGTTCCCTGCCCACAACCTACTTGTTGTAACAAAGTTCCCTGCACACAACCTTCGCGTCCCTCTCGCTCCACTTGTCGTCACAAACAAACTGCCATTTGTTGTCTTTCAAGACCTGCACGAACCCCATGCCTGGCACTCCGGCAACCCCATGTAGCCTGACGTTGTTGGCACCGGATGCTGGAGGGATGAGAGCGATTGTTTCAATATTTTAATGAGTGTCCTTCTAGACATATGTCAATATACAGATAACGTGATCACAAATATTATTTTAAATTTTGTACTAAGATGATATGTGGGGATGTAAAAATGGAAACCTTACAGCACTGAGATGGTACATGTAAAGATGGAAACCTTACAGCACTGAGATGGTATGTGGAGATATAAAGATGGAAACCTTACAGCACTGAGATGGTATGTCCACAGCTGGTAATGCTGCTGGTGGCGGCTGTGTACCACGTGGGTATGTAGACCCCGACACGCTGAAGACAGTTAAAGCACCAGCAGGATCGGGTGAGCTACATCTGACAGCAACTTCCGCATCCTGTCTCAGACAGAACCAACAGACACACATCAGTGGTAGCATTGTCTCAGTCAGAACCAACAGACACACATCAGTGATAGCATTGTCTCAGTCAGAACCAACAGACACACATCAGTGATGGCATTGAATAATGCAGTATTGAATAAATCATGACATCTCTAGCAGTATTGTGTCACATTCATACTTAAAACTTAAAAAAAATCAGTGTAATGTTTACAAAAATGCAAAAAAAAAGTTTTAATAACAAACTTTTATGTAATAATGCACTACAAAGGAGAAAGTAATTTTATTTAGTTACAAAATAATACACATTTATTTAAATAACTATAAAGAAAAGCGTAGGTCACTTTATTATCTATTGGATACCTTTACTAATGTTTAGGAAGAGACGCACGGTTTTCTTTATAGTTATTTAAATAGTAGTGTATAGTTAAAGAAAATCTTGTTCTCATTTTAGTGCATTATTACTTAAAAAGCTTATTAGTTAAAAGTTATTTTTTTTTGCAATGATTTTCTGTACTTTATATTTTTATTTTTAATAGATTTGCGTGACTAAGCACTTTTGCGCATGAAGTGCACATAATAATGCGTGTATGTGTAGAAAGAGTAGTAGGACAGCCTACTAATTTCAGGAAATTTTAATGAATTCATAAAAACTTAATTAGTCATCCAATTTAGTCACATTTAATGTCATATTGCATTGTCTTCTAGTCTTGACCCACGTGCCAAATTAGAAACGAATCTGTAAGTTAGAAATGCCTGAAATTTCGCTTGCCCGTTTCGAACTATTAGGACAGACAAACTGATGACAGACAGAGGAAGCAACTTAATACAAATAAAAAAAAACCGTTTTATTAATAACAAGCTTTTATGTAATAATGCACTAAAAAGTAGAAAATAAATGATTTTCTTTAAATATTTAATAATACACATCCATTTAAATCACTTTAAAGAAAAGCGTGGGTCACTTATAATGTACTGGAGACCTTTACTAATATTTAGGAAGAAAACCACGCTTTTCTGTATAGTTATTTAAATAGTAGATCTAGTGTGTTATTATATATTTAAAGAAAATCATCTACTTTCTTCTTTGTAGTTCATTTTTCCATAAAAGCTTGTTATTAAAAAGTTTTTTGTATGAATTTGTTTTAGTACTTTAAAATTATTTTTTTTAACTTAAAACATTGGAGTTTTGTGACTAAAAATTATTGAGCACTAAATGATCATGATCATGCGCGTATAATAGTGCAGTAAATAGTGGGCACCCTACAATATTTAGGATCTTGTAATGAATTCATAAAACATCATTAAGTCAAATTTGATGTCAAATTGCTTTGTCGTCGGGTCTTGACCCACTTGCCAAGTTTGAAACGATTCTGTCAATCAGAAGTGCTCGACAGTTTTGATCCAAAACGACAGAAAGACAAATAGACTAAGAAAGCAAGTTAATAAAAAGATTGTAAAAATAAAACTGGAAACAAATTATGTTGGTATAAATTGTAAAGTTAAAATTGCTTTGTCGTCGGGTCTTGACCCACTTGCCAAGTTTGAAACGATTCTGTCAATCAGAAGTGCTCGACAGTTTTGATCCAAAACGACAGAAAGGCAAATAGACTAAGAAAGCAAGTTAATAAAAAGATTGTAAAAATAAAACTGGAAACAAATTATGTTGGTATAAATTGTAAAGTTAAATATATCATTGTAATATAAAAAAATATCAGTTTATGTGAAGAAAATGAAATTTGTTTATTAACGAATTATGCTGATATATAAAATTCATTGAAATGTTAAAGATGTTGTTAAGTAAAAAAAAAAAATCAGATTTTAACAGAAGCGTTCTAGTGATATGAGCAGACACAGTACCGTGTAGGAGCAGTTGACGATAGGTGCACGCATGCATTTGGAGAGGGTGAGTTCTGTCCCGACACATACAGGCTCACTCAGCAGATAGTTGTGGCTGCCCTCGCCAAACTCGTTAGCACCGGCCACTACACCTGAACTGTGAGGAGGATGTGTACATCAGTGGGGGTGTAGGGTGTGGTGGTGTACATCAGTGGGGGTGTGGGGTGTGGTGGTTTGGTAGTGTGGTGTGTGGTGTGTGGGGTAAGCGGTGTGATAGGGTGGGGGTGTGTTTATGTCGTGTGTGATGTGTGGTGTGTGGGGTAAGCGGTGTGGTGACAAAAGAATGTAATGCAAGTATTTTAAACTCGTAACAGATGAAGTATTTAACAGAAAAAATATTTAACTTGTATTTTAATAGAAGAAATATTTAAATTGTATTTTTTAGAAGAAATATTTAACTTGTATTTTAACAAAAGAAATATTTAACTTGAATTTTAACAGAAGAAATATTTAACTTGTATTTTTTAGAAGAAATATTTATATCGTATTTTAAAAGAAGAAATATTTGACTTGTATTTTAACAGAAGAAATATTCAAATAGTATTTTTTTAGAAGAAATATTTATATCGAATTTTAACAGAAGAAATATTTAACTTGTATTTTAACAGAAGAAATATTGTACTTGTATTTTAACAGACGAAATATTGTACTTGTATTTTAACAGAAGAAATATTGTACTTGTATTTTAACAGAAGAAATATTTAACTTGTATTTTAACACAAGAAATATTTGACTTGTATTTTAACAGAAGAAATATTGTACTTGTATTTTAACACAAGAAATATTGTACTTGCATTTTAACAGAAGAAATATTGTACTTGTATTTTAACAGAAGAAATATTGTACTTGTATTTTAACACAAGAAATATTGTACTTGTATTTTAACAGAGGAACTATTGTACTTGTATTTTAACAGAAGAAATATTGTACTTGTATTTTAACAGAAGAAATATTGTACTTGTATTTTAACAGAAGAAATATTGTACTTGTATTTTAACAGAGGAAATATTGTATTTTTATTTTAACAGAAGAAATATTGTACTTGTATTATAACAGAAGAAATATTGTACTTGTATTTTAACACAAGAAATATTGTACTTGTATTTTAACAGAAGAAATATTGTACTTGTATTATAACAGAAGAAATATTGTACTTGTATTTTAACACAAGAAATATTGTACTTGTATTTTAACACAAGAAATATTGTACTTGTATTTTAACAGAAGAAATATTGTACTTGTATTTTAACAGAAGAAATATTGTACTTGTATTTTAACAGAAGAAATATTGTACTTGTATTTTAACATAAGAAATATTGTACTTGTATTTTAACAGAAAAAAATATTGTACTTGTATTTTAACACAAGAAATATTGTACTTGTATTTTAACACAAGAAATATTGTACTAGTATTTTAACATAAGAAATATTGTACTTGTATTTTAACAGAAGAAATATTGTACTTGTATTTTAACATCTTGCAAACCACAAGAGCCTCATTATTCGTCCAAGATTTGTCGCAAATTGAACCGTTGACAGGTTCAAAGTCCATCTGGATAACAACCCGACCTGTTCCAGGTACATTTCCTGGTTCTAGTGCCAGGTACGTTATTTGGCTGGTGTCTGGGGATAAACAAGTTGCAGGAATTTGTTGCAGGAGTTTCTATTATATGCGGAGTTTTTTGCAAGATTGTTTTTAGGAGTTTGTCACTGTCACTAGACATTTAATACATTACATAAATTTGTCGCAATCAAAAGTTGCAGGACTTTGTCGCGTGTGCCGATTTAACGTTTAAAAACTATTTATTATTTTTTTTTAAATTCAACTTTTAATTTGTTAGTCAACTATTCAACATCTCATATCAATCGAAATAAATTTTAAAATCAATATAACTATGTCATTCCACTTGACCTTGTCAGTTACCATGACATTGTCAGTCAACATAACCTTGTCAATTAACATAACCTTGTCATTTAACATGATTTTGCCAGTCAACATGATCAGTCAAGATGACTTTGTCAGTCAACATGATCTGGTCAGTCAACATTACCTTGTCCCCAGCATCCATCCAGCAACAGTCCAACAAGAAAAGACAGACAGCAGACTTGAATCTTCATGTTGTTTTATTAGAGCAACAACTCATCAGCCCAACCTAAGACAACTAAACGTGTACCATCAAATACAGAAGAGCGGAGAAAATGTAACGATATATGTGACGTGTTCTCTGGTTATCTAGATGTACAGCTAGGGGATTTGATAACTTGGCCAAGGTCACCCCAAGAGATGACTAGAAAACCGGTAGGACCAGTTTTGAACAAAAGCTTTTCAAAAGTCGGAGAAAAAGTTAAAAAAAAAACCCAGGAAGAATTACGTATCTCGAGGATATTCCTAGAAAGTCAAACAATATGAATTCACCCCCAGATTATGGGCGGGAACGATACAATAGTGTGCTGGTCTTATGAGGGTGTTTTTACACCGGTATCGTAATGGCCCGGGGCTTGAGACATCAGGCCGCCATGTTGGAATTAAAAAGATTTCACCTAGTGATGGTAACTAGCTAATGACGGGATCAGGGTTTAGCATCACCCCAGATAAAGAGGGGATCTAGTGTTATAACCACCCCAGGTAAAGAGGGGATCTAGTGTTATAACCACCCCAGGTAAAGAGGGGATCTAGTGTTATAACCACCCCAGATAAAGAGGGGATCTAGTGTTATAACCACCCCAGGTAAAGAGGGGATCTAGTGTTATAACCACCCCAGATAAAGAGGGGATCTAGTGTTATAACCACCCCAGATAAAGAGGGGATCTAGTGTTATAACCACCCCAGATAAAGAGGGGATCTAGTGTTATAATCACCCCAGGTACAGAGGGGATCGGGTGTTATAACCACCCCAGGTAAAGAGGGGATCTAGTGTTATAACCACCCCAGGTACAGAGGGGATCAGGTGTTATTATCACCCCAGGTAAAGAGGGGATCAGGTGTTATAACCACCCCAGGTAAAGAGGGGATCAGGTGTTATTATCAGGTTCTTGTTTTTGATCATTGCTTCTGGTTTAAGTTTTTGATCATTGCTTCTGGTTTAAGTTTTTGATCATTGCTTCTGTTTTAAGTTTTTGATCATTGCTTCTGGTTTTAGTTTTTGATCATTGCTTCATGTTTAAGTTTTTGATCATTGTTTCTGGTTTTAGTTTTTGATTATTTCTTCTGGTTTTAGTTTTTGATCATTGCTTCTGGTTTTAGTTTTTGATCATTGCTTCTGGTTTGAGTTTTTAATCATTGCTTCTGGTTTAAGTTTTTGATCATTGCTTCTGTTTTAAGTTTTTGATCATTGCTTCTGGTTTTAGTTTTTGATCATTGCTTCATGTTTAAGTTTTTGATCATTGTTTCTGGTTTTAGTTTTTGATCATTGCTTCTGGTTTAAGTTTTTGATCATTGCTTCTGGTTTTAGTTTTTGATCATTGCTTCTGGTTTAAGTTTTTAATCATTGCTTCTGTTTTAAGTTTTTGATCATTGCTTCTGGTTTTAGTTTTTGATCATTGCTTCATGTTTAAGTTTTTGATCATTGCTTCTGGTTTTAGTTTTTGATCATTGCTTCTGGTTTTAGTTTTTGATCATTGCTTCTGGTTTTAGTTTTTGATCATTGCTTCTGGTTTTAGTTTTTGATCATTGCTTCTGGTTTTAGTTTTTGATCATTGCTTCTGGTTTTAGTTTTTGATCATTGCTTGTGGTTTTAGTTTTTGATCATTGCTTCTGGTTTAAGTTTTTGATCATTGCTTCTGGTTTTAGTTTTTGATCATTGCTTCTGGTTTTAGTTTTTGATCATTGCTTCTGGTTTTAGTTTTTGATCATTGCTTCTGGTATAGTTTTTGATCATTGCTTCTGGTTTTAGTTTTTGATCATTGCTTCTGGTTTTAGTTTTTGATTATTTCTTCTGGTTTTAGTTTTTGATCATTGCTTGTGGTTTTAGTTTTTGATCATTGCTTCTGGTTTTAGTTTTTGATCATTGCTTCTGGTTTTAGTTTTTGATCATTGCTTCTGGTTTTAGTTTTTGATCATTGCTTGTGGTTTTAGTTTTTGATTATTTCTTCTGGTTTTAGTTTTTGATCATTGCTTGTGGTTTTAGTTTTTGATCATTGCTTCTGGTTTTAGTTTTTGATCATTGCTTCTGGTTTAAGTTTTTGATCATTGCTTGTGGTTTTAGTTTTTGATTATTTCTTCTGGTTTTAGTTTTTGATCAATGCTTCTGGTTTAAGTTTTTGATCAATGCTTGTGGTTTTAGTTTTTGATTATTTCTTCTGGTTTTAGTTTTTGATCATTGCTTGTGGTTTTAGTTTTTGATCATTGCTTCTGGTTTTAGTTTTTGATCATTGCTTCTGGTTTAAGTTTTTGATCATTTCTTCTGGTTTAAGTTTTTGATCATTGCTTGTGGTTTTAGTTTTTGATTATTTCTTCTGGTTTTAGTTTTTGATCATTGCTTCTGGTTTAAGTTTTTGATCATTGCTTGTGGTTTTAGTTTTTGATTATTTCTTCTGGTTTTAGTTTTTGATCATTGCTTGTGGTTTTAGTTTTTGATCATTGCTTCTGGTTTTAGTTTTTTATCATTGCTTCTGGTTTAAGTTTTTGATCATTGCTTCTGTTTTAAGTTTTTGATCATTGCTTCTGGTTTTAGTTTTTGATCATTGCTTCATGTTTAAGTTTTTGATCATTGCTTCTGGTTTTAGTTTTTGATCATTTCTTCTGGTTTAAGTTTTTGATCATTGCTTCTGGTTTTAGTTTTTGATCATTGCTTCATGTTTAAGTTTTTGATCGTTGCTTCTGGTTTTAGTTTTTGATCATTGCTTCATGTTTAAGTTTTTGATCATTGCTTCTGGTTTTAGTTTTTGATCATTGCTTCCGGTTTTAGTTTTTGATCATTGCTTCTGGTTTTAGTTTTTGATCATTGCTTGTGGTTTTAGTTTTTGATCATTGCTTCTGGTTTTAGTTTTTTATCATTGCTTCTGGTTTAAGTTTTTGATCATTGCTTCTGTTTTAAGTTTTTGATCATTGCTTCTGGTTTTAGTTTTTGATCATTGCTTCATGTTTAAGTTTTTGATCATTGCTTCTGGTTTTAGTTTTTGATCATTTCTTCTGGTTTAAGTTTTTGATCATTGCTTCTGGTTTTAGTTTTTGATCATTGCTTCATGTTTAAGTTTTTGATCGTTGCTTCTGGTTTTAGTTTTTGATCATTGCTTCATGTTTAAGTTTTTGATCATTGCTTCTGGTTTTAGTTTTTGATCATTGCTTCCGGTTTTAGTTTTTGATCATTGCTTCTGGTTTTAGTTTTTGATCATTGCTTCATGTTTAAGTTTTTGATCATTGCTTCTGGCTTTAGTTTTTGATCATTGCTTCTGGTTTTAGTTTTTGATCATTGCTTCTGGTTTTAGTTTTTGATCATTGCTTCTGGTTTTAGTTTTTGATCATTGCTTCTGGTTTTAGTTTTTGATCATTGCTTCTGGTTTTTGTTTTTGATCATTGCTTCTGGTGTAAGTTTTTGATCATTGCTTGTGGTTTTAGTTTTTGATTATTTCTTCTGGTTTTAGTTTTTGATCATTGCTTCTGGTTTAAGTTTTTGATCATTGCTTGTGGTTTTAGTTTTTGAATATTTCTTCTGGTTTTAGTTTTTGATCATTGCTTGTGGGTTTAGTTTTTGATCATTGCTTCTGGTTTTAGTTTTTGATCATTGCTTCTGGTTTAAGTTTTTGATCATTGCTTGTGCTTTTAGTTTTTGATCATTGCTTCTGGTTTTAGTTTTTGATCATTGCTTCTGGTTTAAGTTTTTGATCATTGCTTGTGGTTTTAGTTTTTGATTATTTCTTCTGGTTTTAGTTTTTGATCATTGCTTCTGGTTTAAGTTTTTGATCATTGCTTGTGGTTTTAGTTTTTGATTATTTCTTCTGGTTTTAGTTTTTGATCATTGCTTGTGGTTTTAGTTTTTGATCATTGCTTCTGGTTTTAGTTTTTGATCATTGCTTCTGGTTTAAGTTTTTGATCATTGCTTCTGGTTTAAGTTTTTGATCATTGCTTCTGGTTTTATTTAAACACTGAGTTAATGAGATCGTTTGTCTGACATAGTTATGCCCATCCCCTAGCTCAATACAATATAATATACTCTTGTGGTCAGTAATAAAATAGTCTCACTAATGAACGCAGTGTAAAGTTTTGTTTGTGTCTTTTAAGTGGCCGAACATCTAAGCTCGTCTGACCATTTCAGATTCACTCATTATTCTAGGGCTAGATCTAGGGTTATGAATTACGGTTAGAGCCAAGATTATGACTTAGGGTTAGAGCTAGGATTAACAGGCATTGCTAGAACTAGTATCATGGATTATCCTTGTTGACGACCCCACTATTACAACATTGTATACAGTGCGGAAAGATTGCTTGCTACCACAATTCATTGTTCATTACACAGAGTGTGTGCAACAATACGTGGCCTTCCGTGTGTACATTTTTTATACCACAGATATCTTTTAACCCGGCGACTGGGTGTAATCCACCCGGTGACGCTATATTTTTGCTTAAATCTCGAGTCTCGTTTTATAATTTTTTCTGGGTTTCATTCCCATCAATAAGGTGGTTGGGATGAACATATTGGAGGTTTTGAATTTAAATATAATGCGAAAAAAATTAAAATCTAAAATATATTTTGGTGCAGCAGTGAAAACGTTAGTTTAAACACGGCTATGGCCACTATGGGAACTCTGGAACAGGTTGGACTGGTGAGTCACAGGCGTATTATGGGATCTCTCACTTGAATGCAGGGGCGGAACTATCATGCCGTCAGACCACGCTATCCAGTGGGACCCATGTCTTTTAGGGGGACAAAAATTCATTTAAAAAAAACATTAAATGTTGTTTTATTACCAATTTTTAAATAACTTAGGTAATGGATTTGTAAAAATAAAACAACATACAAATCTATTACAGCATTGATTGTTATAAAGTTACAAACGCGCTATTGGTTAAAAAAACTTATTTAAAAAATCTACATGAGCTGTAATGTGAAAGATGGGCACGCGTTCAAATCACTTCCATGACTAACTGCTCTTCTTCAAATAGTCTAAAAAGGGTGAACATAAAGCTCATAAAATAACAATTTAAAAAGGCAATAGCTTCTCTTAATTATTACTTAAATAAGACACACCAAAGAAAGACAGCGTTAGAAAGAAATGTATTTGAAATAAATAAATAATATAAATACACCAACATATCAAGCTTCCGTGTTTATATAATTTTGATCGGCTTGCCAGATATGTAGTTAC